ACCGAATGTCAGAGAACAGGGTTAGGTTGATCATACTCCGCATATTTGTCCGGTTGTTTTGATTTTCAAGTGGTGGAGTAATCCCGAAGTGGTGAAAGTCTTTGCAGTTACACCCCCTCGAGAAATGTCAGCTGAACACGTTTTACAAATCGCAATCCGCGCCTCTTTCTCTGATATTTTTGAAATATCTCCAAGCGGCAGACATGTTGGCTATGAGCCAGCCGCGAGCATGGTCGCGCGCCGTGCTTGTTGTCGCCGCGCTTTGATTACGTCATCACAACAACACGTTAGGTTACCAAACTTATAGGTGCATTTGTTGTTGTTGAAGGCCTGGCTGTTACAGTCTTTATTTACACTATTTGTTGTAGGCCTGCTGGCCTAGATGCAGTTTTAAAGCACCTTGGCTTTGTTCTGAATGCACTTTGTTGTAGTTATCCTACAGAGAAAAGAAAATGCACTTGACTTGGAATGAATGTACTGTGTGCATTCAAAAGTGCTGAATAAATGTTTTATGGACCCATAATAGTGATTATTAAGTTAAGTTTTGCCATAATCATGTATTTTTCCATAATCAGGTAGCTGAACAACATTGGTAAAAAATGTATACATTATATATATATATATTTCTATTAATCATTTTCGGACTTTCGGCATTCGGTTTTCGGCCAACTGTTTCCTATTTTCGGTATCGGTTTCGGCCAAGAATTTCCCATTCGGTTCACCCCTAATTTGGCTCTTTAGTGACGATATGCTCCAGTTGGTTTACCAGGCACCTGCTGACTTTGTCTGCTGTGATGCTAGTATACAGTCATTTAGGACCATTGTCACAGAAAACATCAAATACACTGCTCAAACATAGTTAATAAAAGTGACAAGAAAAATAAAAAAAAGTCGCTCTATCTATGGTAGGGCTAGCTTGCTAAGTCAAAAATACATGTATATTGTTCTCCATCTTTGGGTATGATGCTGTTGCCAAGGTAGGGGGCCTCACTGCCCATACAGTGAGTTAAACTCATTTATCATGGGTACTGTGTGTTTTAAATATGACTGCCAGTTGTGGTTGGGCGTATGTGTATTTTTGTTCATGCCTCTAGGACCTCTAGTAAGGGTATTTCCCTCAAGTGTTGTTCAGAAAGTTGGTCCCCAATGCAAATAAATACCAGTCTGTGTGTACATTGTTCATACAGTCATTGTCATCACAGCTCTCTCCCTGTGCCACACACTCGCTCACACACACACTCTTTAATGTTCTGTGTGGGCATTAATGTTTTTTTATACACTTTGTCGTTCCCGTGGTGCCACAGTTGTTGACGTTTGCAGCCTGCTTATTAGAAGTAAAGTCAAACTGACTGTCCACAAACAGCAGGACGCTCAGATCAATTTATGATTTATAGGCAGCCAGAGTTATGCATCGCCCCCTGTTGAGCCAAGTCAAGACCTGAATGCGTCGCTATAGGAATTAGTTAATATTTGATGATTATGTTAAAAGCTTTGGTGAAGTGGCGGCTGTTAGAGTCAGCATTGTGGCAAGTGCTGATTTAAGCATTTCACAGCTTTTAACACAAGCTGAGAAACACTCAAATATATTATAGAAAGTTATATAAACACAATGATAACTAAAGTGACTTAAGGGCAAATGCACTCTAAATCTTCCAAATTTCTTGTGCGTTAACTTCCTGCTGTCAAACCATATTACATATGTGGAATAAAAACTAAATGTAATGACCTCCTAAGCTGGTCCAGTGAGGTCTTCACTTGTCACACCTTTCAAAACACATTAAAGTGATATTAGGAAAGTCATACATGACCCTTACAAACCAGGGGATGATTACACATGATCTTAAATGTATCGACCCCAAGACACCTTAAATGCATCACCAATACATGCATCTTTTTTATGCACCATTCAAAAATAAAATAACCTATAATGCTTTGCTCGCATCAAGTGTGCATTCCATTCACTTTTATGAGGAACAGTTACATATATTTAAGTTCCAGTTGTCTTTGAGTTGTCTTTGTGTTCAATGTCCAGTATGTGTTCACTGAACCTTGAAACAGTGCACCTATCCTAGTTTTACGACTTACAGTTTTATAGAAGTCAAGGAGAAATGACCCTACTCATAACTTGATTTCTTACCTCAGTAAACATTGTTAACATAAATTGATTCTCAATCTTAATTGCTACTTTCAAGTCTTCCTTAATACACTATGATGTTAGTTAGCTTTATTAGGATTTGATTTAGAGGAAATTAACGGTTAACGAGTGTATCCTTTAGGGTGGGGCTACCTTGTTATTGACATGCTTTGTCCGGTCTGCTTTTCGTTTTCTCGTCTTATTTCAACCCTTTCACAATATTTCAGTTCATGAATTTTAATGTTTTAGTTGCATCTTTCAGTCATGAGTAAGAAGATGTTCTGTAAAAAGTAGTGAATTGCAATCGTATCTTTTCTGTCTCCTCACAGAGGGAGAGGCTGCGGAACATTGAGAGGATCTGCAACTTGCTTAGGAAGGTAAGCAGAGAGGGACACACATTTTGGTTTTGAATTTGATTGGTACCTGACTTGTCATAGAGCATATAACCCTTTTGCTTGGTATTGGATATACTCATCACTTTTAGGAAAATAAGGCTTCTGTTTGACAATTAAGAATTAGATTTCTGAATATGTGGGATTATACTGCCGAACACGTGTGATTGCCAATTTATCTCTGGAATATTCCAAAATCCTGTTGCTTTTGTGAGAGGAAGCCCTGGCGATGCTAACTTCGATTTGGCCTACAACAATCTGTCATCACTGCACCACTCTATTTAGAGCTACAGTACATATCAGTAGTCTATAGGGGTGTAACGGTTCACAAACATTTCGGTACGTACCTCGGTTTTTAGGTCACGGTTCAGTTCGATACGTTTTCCGTACAGCAGAAAAAATTATCACAAAACATAAAATATTTTTGGGGTTTTTTAAATTAGTATTAAACTGTGAATAATGTATTCACTCAAATAAATACAAAATATAATACAAATAAACATTAAGGTGCAGCATTTCGATGAACTGAAATAATCTGTATTTGCACTTTACTGTACTAGTACTCACAAAACATAAACTATTAGTTTTGGGTTTTTAATTATTATTAAAATGAATATTAACTCAAATAAATACAAAATATAATAAAATAAACATTAAGGTGCAGCATTTCGATGAACTGAAATAATCTGTATTTGAACTTTACTGTACTAGTACTCACAAAACATAAACTATTAGTTTTGGGTTTTTAATTATTATTAAACTGTGAATATTCACTCAAATAAATACAAAATATAATAAAATAAACTAGGGCCGGGACTCGATTAAAATAATTAATCTAATTAATTAGAGGCTTTGTAATTAATTAATCGAAATTAATCGCATTTTTAATCACATATAAATATTTGACCTGAGAACAGTGAGAAGCAATTTTTTTCACATGGATTTTAGTATACCATTGAATAATGACTGAATACATAAGCCATTTTCCTGGGTGGGGTAGAGTGGACCACGACTTTGGACGCACAAGTGAGAGACAGGATCTTCCTAACAACCTTCGAGCGGGGGGGGACACTCGAGACTAACCAGTTCGCTGCACGTTGACGGCGCTCCTTGCGACGCTCCTCTCTGTCCAAAGGCCACAGCCCTTCTATCTATGTCAGTCTCATCCCGCTCCAGAAGGTCGTCTTATCGCAAAACCCCTTGTTTTAGTTCGAAAAATGTTTCGATCACTAACAACCGTCCGTCACTCACGCCTGTTTCTAACTGCTATTGTTCTTGTCCGAGAGTGGTTCATGCTGAGCCAAGGGGAGCAAGTCATAGTTTTCTCGCAAAGTTTTCTTAGCCGAGCAAGCGCTAGGCTGTGTAGTGATCAGGGATCGCTCTCCCCAAGAGGGCGTCCTTGTAAAACCAATCACGGTCGTCTAGACGGGAAAGAAGTTCGTTACACCTGTTCAGATTAAAAAGAAAATTTTTTTTTGTACTTTTATTGTTACTGTTCGCTCAGTTACAGTTTTGAACCGACGAAATCCATGAGCAGTCATGTCAAGTCCCGTTATGTCAAAAAGTCAAGTAGACCTTTAACACGACGGGTGGAATTAACACAATAAAATCCGGGCCCCCGAAAATGGCGCAATTTAATTCTAAATTAATTAATGCTGTTTTTAATTTCGTAATTCAGCGTGGAATAAAACACGGTGAACGCCTTTGGCAAAGAGTGACCTACTCAAAGTCCCCATGGTAATATGACCTCGATGGTTGATTGCAAGTACCTGAAGTCGCTTGTCTGCTTTGGGTGTCAACTTGTTACATTCAGTTTGCACTTGCCCTTCTTCGACTACTCTGGCGAAACCAACCGGGGCACCTACCCCTATAAAACAAAATTTTTTTGCCTGCTGCAGCCCTTGCGCAGTTATTCTCGTGCCACAAACGGGTTAAACGTTTTTCCTAAGCGTATCTTAGTGGGCGTCGTGTAAATTCGGAGCATAGTTGTGGAGTACGTATTTTGTATATCGTCGATCGCACCTTCCGATCGAACACCTGCAATCGGGCTGAGCCCTCATTTTCCGCTGGGGGTGTGGGTTAAAAATTCAGTTGACAACCATTTAGTTGTTTTCAGACAAATACCGGAGACTTACGTCAGTCTCTCTACAAAAGAGTTAATCAGGTCCAAAGGTTGACAAGACCTTACCCATGGAACTTCATAGACACCAAAATGAATTTTTTGTTTTCAACCAATATCAAATGTCTTCAGATGGATGGATATCCGATGGACGTTAGAGACTTTAACACTGACTATAAGGATTTAATACGATAACATGTGATGAATACCGTTTTTAACGTAAAAAGACATCAGAACCCAAATTCATGGTGGAACTTTTTTTTATATTCCTGTTACAAA